GAAAGCAGTCAAGAATCAGAAGATCAGTGGAAAGTCAATAAAAGCTGTGAAGGGAATCGAATAAAACTCAACATAAATAAGAAAGCCATTAGTAGTGAAGATGATGATGAATCCACTTCTCGAGAATCTGCACCGAGGAAGCGGGAGAACGAAATCGTCTCAGATGAGAGTGAAGAGGAGGAAAGTTCATCAGAAGATGACAAACAAGACTCTCGGCCATCGTATCAGCCTAACTATGCTCCACCTGAGCAAGTCCCTCCTTTTATTTCAAATCCATATGTAGCAACACCAGTGCCACAGCCTAATGGAGGATTTATGATCGATACTTTGTTACGAGCTAGGAATCCCGAAAACGAAGAAGATGAACTGACAGGTGTTACTGACATAGTTTCATACATCACACAAGAATAAATCTAAATCATGTAAATTACCATTCAGCATTTTAGAGGGCATTTATCAATGTAGATAACTTGTATGTATAAAATCATATTTGCAATATGTTTTATTTCTAGTTTTATATTTCATGCTAAAGGTTTACAAGCTGTTGTCTTTTTTTATTGATATTCTGTACATTGATTTGACATTTTTTTATGGCTTTACAAAATTAAGCTGCCATTACATATGTACATTAAAAAATATTCTGCTTTGGATTTGTATCATGTATTCTGTGTTGCTATTTAGCACCATAGATTTCTGTACACGTGAATGTTCTGTATGTCTGTTATTTATATAAGTGTATTGTTATAATTTTCATAATTCATATCTATTCAGATGTAAGCTATTTTGTTTTTTAATATTAAACGAATGAAAATTCATTTTTCTGGTGCATTTATGAATATCTATTCCTAGACTTTAGGTACCAAACGTAATCATTCCCATTTCATGAATTCTATGAACAGATTCTACTTAGTATACTGTCGCTTAAATGTGTAAAAACAATTAACACAGGACTGATTTAATGTTTATTTTACTGTATGACAGATTGGTTTAAACTAAGAGCTGGTATATCAAATTAAAGAAACTAATGTAAAATAAAGTTGGGATAACTACAGTAGTATGAAAACTAAACATAAGATTTATTTTGATGGCTGTTTCTGGTGACCAAAAAAAGTCCTAAAAATTCCTTAAAATATACAAATCATTTATTTAAAAAAATGTAGACTGTGCATAAGTGATTTAATTTTTTATATTAGTTTATAGTTTCTGAATGAATTCTGTATTTATTAATATTTCTTAATGCATTCTTATTTTATATTTTAACTTCTAAAAAAATCTATAGAAGGCTGAATTTATATAATTGACACGTATTAAGTTAAAATTACACCCCCTAGTATTGTTAAATGTGTTTATTATACATCAGTTTATGATTCCTTGACATATTTTCTATATCAGTTAAAATTTAATAGAAAATATATGAAAAATGGGTTACATGTAGAAATGAAAAATATAGAATTCTCAATAAAAATTATCTACCTACCGATAATGAAGTAAAATTTCAGAAAACATCATAGTTTTTGGAAGCTGATTCTTTTTTTGTTTGTTTTATATTCTTATATGTAGAATAGAAAAAAATTTATCTGCAAAAAATTTAGTTTAAAACTATAATATATATTAAAATACTAAAATATGCACATCTTGGAGCAGTCAATTTAGTATATACAAAGTGTTCCAAAAATATGCTAGTTTAATTTTGACTTAATAATATCACTTTTCTGCTTTTCACCTGTTTTAAGAAATATCCTTATTTTTTTATAAAGTCTAGAAGTTAGTGAATGCTGCTGAGAAAGGAGACAAATTATGGATTAGAAACATTTTACAAAATACAGGACTGCAATTGTTCTTCTGGCTTAATTCCCCCCCCCCTCCTGCTGAAATTGTATGCCAGAATGAAAAATGCCAAAACTTTTCCAAAAATCAAAACTGATCAAGAAGTACTAAAAGTACAATCAAAATATCAAACAATACATAAAAGAATTTAATATGTAATCAACTTATACATCTAAACTTAAAAAGAAAATTTTTTTAATTATGACATGGCAGAAACTGATTTTTAACTTAAAAAAATTTCTCATATATCTTCAGGTTCTCCCAATTTTTTTCCTCTCCTTCCTGATAGCATAATATACTTTTTTTAAATGCATGATAGTTTTCAATTTCAAAATTAGTCTGATTAAACTATGGCCTTTTAAAATTCAAAATTAATACATTTTTAATTTGCTATGAAGTTTTATTAGCTTAAGCAATTGATAGTAATTTTTTTTAATGTGAAATGAATTCAAATGCTCACAGTTTTGTTTTAAAGTATTTTTAACCGTCTGACTGCTACGACGCAGCGCTTTTGCGCTGCAAGTTTCAGTGTGTCTTCTTGCTCCGTGGGTGTGAATGTACAAAGGCTGACCTTACGTGTCCTTTGTAATACGAGTGCATTCTAAATTAACTAACTGCGTTGCGGTTTTTGAGACAAATGAACGCAGCGCTTTTGCGCCGCGTAGCAGTCAAACGGTTAAACATGAGTAATAAAATTACTTTAATTTTCATCATATGCTGATCCAAATTATTAAATTTTTTAGAAATGGACTGCTTCTAGTCTGCTAGTTTTTATTAAAATATCGTATTACAATGTGCAACTCTTAAAAATTTAATTTATAACTGAGGCAAACTAGCTGTCTCATTAAGTGATTAATTACAAATTAGCTAGGTGATGAGTTGATAGTATACTAAGATCATTGATAGTATACCAACAGCTGAAAAACCCAGTTTTGTTCTTCTGACCCAATACATCGTGCCTGTCTCTCAAATAAAACTAAATAAAAACTTATATCACCTTCATTCAAATCATACTTATGCATTAATTTACTCATATCACAAATATTACTTCTACTAACATTAGAAGGAACAGAATCATTTACATTACTACTTCTGATTTCTGCTTCTATTTTCAATTTTTTAAGTTCAAACGTTCTTTGCTTATCTCTTTCTATAATTTCCATTTCAAATGCTCTTTGCTTATCTTTTTCTAAAATTTCTAACTTTTCCCTGTCTAAATGATCATTTATAATTCTATCTAGCATTTGTTTAGTAAAGTCTTCATTATAATTCTTACTATTCAAAATCATATCTCGAGCCTACAATTTTAATATCAGAAGGGACATCTAACAAGTTCAAAGCAGTTCTTTTAAGTCACATTTCTTGCCTCTTGCCAAATAAGCCTCTTAGACTTCATTTTAAAATAAAACAATAATTTTACTTAAGTTCTTTCCGTTTAATACTTAGACATAACTAAACGTTTATAAATTCACGTACTTTCTACTTTCAGTTTGGCGAGCTTTCGCATTCAGTTTAGGCTTAGCGTACGTTAAGGCAATACGTTGTTAAATCTAGAATAAATTCTAGTTTATCCCACTTCTGAAATGTAGCAATTAATTAGTTCCTTTATTAAAAACACATTCCATCAAACATTAATTGTTAAATACTTGCTTTATTCAGAAGCATTACCGTCAACATTACTGCTCAAAACCATTACAGTTCCAATTATTATCGTTCTGAAAAAAACTGTTTTTGCCAATCGGGAAAGTACATTTTAAATAAAATTAATACGTTGCGTTTACATTACCGAAGTCAAAAGGAAGAAGATGGAACCCTCTTCTGATTCTAAAGAGGAAGAATCTTCATCATCAGAAGATGATACCGAAGTCAAAAGGTAGAAGATGGAACCCTCTTCCGATTCTGAAGAGGAAGAATCTTCATCATCAGAAGATGATACCGAAGTCCATCAAACAAATAGTGTCAATTACATTACATTAGAATATGCCATCAATGAAAGAACTCATGCAGATGTTATTCGTTCTGATGACGTAGAAACTGCTGATGCCTCCGAGCACGAATTTGCAAATTCGTAGTATCTGGATTGTTAGTTTTATTTATTTCTGTTTTAGATTTATTGTAAAATATTCTTACTTGTCATCTAAAATGAGTAGTCATAAATAAATAATTGTTTTTAAATAATTGTTGAGCACAAAAAATTTATCATTACATACAGTTATATGCGTTTATGGGCTCGTGGAAATCTACTCAGATAATTACTCCAGACACTTTATTGAAATAGCAAAAATAACAACTGCATATCACTCAAGCAGCCCAGAATTTGAGCAAATCGTCCCTAAAGCTGCATTCAGACGGTGACGTAAATGTCACATTGTCACAAGGAATAAAATGTGGGAATTCCATTCTCACCTGCGACACAGGGTCTAAGCCGCAACCACTTAGAGAAGCTAAATTTGCACATGCGTGGATTTGTGTCTACAGCTTTCCCGCTCTGTTTTCCCATTCGGGTTCGTGCATTCGCTCTGACTGGTCGATGCTTATTATATTGGTGGACAGCATAAAATTGAAAATTTCGAACTTTATGCCAAGAGACCTAAACCAGATTTTGTGACGTAGCACAGACTGGTTGCCTGGCAGCGCAGCTCGGCTTAAACCACTTATGCCCTTTATACCGTCGTCTGAACATAGCTTTACACACCAGAAATATTATTGATTACTGATGTTACTCACAGTGTAAGAAACCGAAGTCTCATAAAACCACACAGGACTGATTAACAGAAAACTTGCTGTCGAAAGCATATTTATATGGTATTGCCAGGACTTAAGAAGCTTCGATGCACTGTTAGTTAAGAAAGGCAACTTTTCAACAAATTATACAACAAATTATATTTAATTATACAACCAGACTCCTAGAGCTTCAAAAATGCGTTTTCTTGAAATTTCTAGAAAATCACCAAGTTCATACGAATTCACCAAGTGCTGCTATTTTGGCAACACAAATTATTGACAGGGACAGTTAGAAACATTTCTGCCTATATTTTGCTTGAGATATTTCCCCAGTTTAATCTGTGTTTGATTTAGAATCACAAAGTTCACCCTCTTCTGTATTAGACATAAACAAGTATACAAAATATGTAAGAAAAAATTTAATTATACGAAACTAAACTATAAAACTGCTACCTAAAATGCAAGAATTAAACAAACAAACAAAAAAAAAAAATCAATAAATATAACAATTAATGGTATTACAGCTCAGCAAGTGAACAGACTCAAATATTTAAAAATTTTACAATTTCTTCCTCGTCCATAATTCCTGCATGGCCCAGGTGCAAGGTCTGTCATAATGCTCTTATCAGATTTTCAGAAGAAGGAATTTTTCGGATAAACACAACTGCATTTTTTAGTTTCTTGACCACACAGAATGGCCCCTCCCAGGATATCTGTAGCTAAGGTGAGATCCCTCGACCTTTGAGCAGAGTTGCCAACTCTCCCGATTTTCGACTGCTCTCCCGCCAACCGGATTTACAATATATTTCTCCCGACTTTTTCTTATTCTTAATATTTCTCACGATTTTTGTGGAATTGGGTTTAATACTTCATTATATGAACAAAACAAAACAAGTGATTTTGGACGTCTGAAAGCAACAGAATTTTCTCTAGATTATATCTAAAACAAAACCTTGCAATGTGTGTGTGTGTGATTATGGCAAAGCCTCGAGGGCTATCTGCCTAAGATGAAGGATGCCTTCGTGGAGGACTTTCTAAGGGAAACTGGCTCGTATACACGTTACACATCGGGAAAATCACGAAAACGCCCATGCAGCCAGCCCGTTCGCAGGATTCGAACCTCGGACCGAACTACCAGTGTTCAGCGACTTTACCGATCGGCCGCTGGTGGGCTTATTTTCTAATGGATAATGGAATTAATTTAATCTAATGTCAGCTAGAAAACGGCTATTTACAATAGGGAGATTTAAAAGGACTGTAACTGTAATTAAGAGCACAGTAATTTTTCTTTCACAATCAGCTGTTAGATAAGATTAGCTGCTTTCTGTATATTTTTCGCGTTATATAACTGATATTCATAGGTCTTGAATAAATATGCAGCAAATGCAAGACAAATTATTAAAATATTACAATTTGAAACATTAATACTAATTTTCTATTACTATACAGAATACTATTAATGAATGATGAATTTATATAATATGTATACTTAGAATCAGATGAGAATTTCTGCTTTGTGAGTGACAGCATACGTATCCAGAAACGTCGTTCTCCAGTTCTCCAATGGGCATCGAGCTCCACTGTGTGTCATCTGGCATATATTAGCCAATGATCACAAAGCAAGCTCAAGGCCGTTATTTGTATGTTCTTTCATTATTTCGTTCATCTTGTCCTGAGTTGTGTTAGCACACGTGCCTTTCGGAAATAGTTTTAGAAATTATCATCTTCTGTTATGTCTGCGAGAAAGGTGAAATACTCGTGCACGTTTCAAAAATTGTACACAGTTGACTTTCCTTCCATTATTTCCTCAAGGAAATGTAAGAAATTTGCGATGTGTACCGTCTGTCGTTGCGATTTTTCGATTTCGCATGGTGGAAGGGCGGCTGTTCTCAAACATGTGCGTACACCAAGGTGTGACGCTTCTTTGGCGATATGAAGCAACTCCAATGATGGAACACAGCAATAACTTTTATTTAACACTCAAAATTGGCGACATACAAACAAGAAGAAAAAACATATTCTATAAACTTATTAAAAAAAATAATTACATGCTTCGTGCAAGAAAATGCATGCAGCTCTCAAGCCTGCATTTCAATATTGCCAGTAATCTGTACATTATTTATTATTCATCTATTTCAAATGCACGAGAGATTAATAACGATATTAAAGCTGTTACAAAGGCTTCATTTCTAAGATTAGAAGTGACGGAGCCCTATGGAAGACCGTCAGCAGAGAGGAACAAGAGTAAATAAATAAAATGACTATTAAACTTGTTCATAATTTTAAATTTAAATAGTTAATTATTATCAAATTAATTAATAGCTATTTAATAATGTTTATAAATTCTATTTAATCAATAACTATTATATAATTAATTATTATAATTTATGATACTTATTAGGTAATTAATTATTATTTATTGAAATCTTAAGCTTGAGTAATTAACTAATTAAAAAAATAAAATGTAAAGAGATAAATTGAAATTTAATAAGAGATTTTTTAATACTAATTTTATTGTTAAAATAAAATTTTCAAGATAAAAATTTGCACTGAAATTGTTATTCAGTTACATAAAAGAAGTGCCGCAGCCTTTCTTATTCAGGGCTCCAGTGTGTTCTGGCTAGAATTATGATTTATTATAAGAGCAGAAGCACCGGAAGCCGATATCCGGTGGGCTCCGGTCCAATTTAAGCTCTGATCCGTAGGGGGGAAGGGAAGTTCTTTTATCACCATAAAAATTAAATATACTTCAAGTATAGCTGGTGAAAATTCCAGGGCTAAACAGAATGAGGGTATGACAAAAAAAAAAAAAAAAAAAAATGAGGGGAATCTTGGTGATAGAGAACGTTTTCATTGACCGGGCTCTCTGTTGATATAATTATAGCCATCAAGCAGATGGTTGTCAGGGGTAAATGAGTCCTGAATCGGACTCCTAAATGTAAAGTTGCTGGTTACGCTCCCCCCCCAAATTAGTGGATACTGTGGGAAGACGATGTATAGGACGTGCTTGAGCAGTTTATCTCAGTATTTCACTCTTATTGTACTCGTTGTCACTTAACGAACATTTAAGAACACAAATTTTCTTTCCTGTGAGGATAACTAACTGTAAGCATCGATAACAATACACTAGATACGATGGCATGGCGAGAAATTTAGACGTTCCTAAACAAACTCCCCCAAATTTATTGCTTTTCTTAAAGGGAAAGGTTTCCGCATGTGAGTGAGGGGACTTTCCTTGAACATCTCATGTTCTCACGAGTTCGTATTTCCACGGAAATAGAGTATTGCAAGGTCTGCTTATTGTTAAACTAAAACGTTAGGAATTCTAAATTTGGTTCCCTTGAAACTGTGGATCAGTTTTATAAAAAGAAGTACCGGAGCTCATCTTATTTAGGGCTCCGGTGTGCTCCGGCACAATTTAAGCACTATATATATGTAATGTTTTCAGTTATTCCAACACATCGTGGGCGAATGGTGAGGCTATTCCATTACACGTTCTGGAAGATGGTTAACGAAGCTGGGGTGATTGAAACACCAGGTAAAATGACGACTCGGACTTTTCACTTTTAACAGCAGCATATCTTTATTTTAATTTATAGCAGATGACTTTTTCCAGATGAAGTTATCAAATACTTATTCAGTAATTGAACTATTAGATACGACTGACTTTAAACTTTAATAAATCATAACGTTCTAACAAAGAAGAGGAGCATAGCGGAAGCGTTAGCAGGACGAAGGCGAGAAGGCATCTGTCTAGGAGACTTATGACTCACCATTTATATGAGGAGGTTATGTAATAGGCGTGAATGTTCTAGCAGGTACTGGGTTAGGGGACGGATCCTGAATTGCAGAAAAGTAATTAAAGGTTGCTGGTTCGCAAAGAGGCAAAGCCATCGGAATTTTTTTTTTTTTTTTATTTTACATCCCCCCCCCCCCGTCAAAGAGAGGCCGGGTGATAAAAGCATTAGTACAGGAGTGAAGCAAAGTATGAGAAAAGACATGAAAACATCCAAACATAGCGTATAAGCTTTAACTATGGCCTATCATAGTTCATGACTTTCTCATATAAAATTTGACTTTATAGCATATGAAATTTTGAACATTAAACAATGAGTTATAAATAAATATACAATATATGACTAATTTTAAGACTATAACATAAAAATATGGAATACTGATAAATAATAAGTTATAATTACAAAAGTCCTCAATTTTGTTAAAAATGTCCATTTCATAAAAGAGTTCAAATAGACTGAAACATCTGGTAAAATCTCTAAATGCCAGATAGTCCACAAATATATGCATGTTGATAGTTCAAAATATGATGCATTTTTTTTCCTCCTCGTAAAGATGACATTTTTACAAATATTATACTTATCAAAAACTTCAATATAAATATACAATTACACTAGAAAATGAACACTTTTGACTTAACACTATGGCATGTCCTCGCCACAGATCAGCGTGATTACTTTCTGATGTTGGGGTGCTAGGTACAAATATTGAAAAACCTCCGTTGCCTAATAGAAGGTAACTGGTTTTGGGCATTGTACCTTACCTCAAAGTGGTGTTAGAAAATAAAAGATCATATAAAATCAAAATTATAAGACAGATAACTTGTATAATCAAGTAAAGTCTTTTTTATAATGTTGAAAATAGAACAAATATTATTTTACAATAGAAGAAAATTTTTGCTACAAAAAATTCAAATTATGTGAAAGATATAAAAAGGTCAAGATCGGGAGAATAATTTGTCATAGTCGGGAAAATAACTTGTCATAGTTAGGGTTTAAGTCTAAATCAGGTATTAAAGGTCATAATCAGGGAAATGTTTAAAAAGAGAATTTAAAAAAAAAAATTAATTTTAATTTTGAACAGAGATAGGAATTCTACTATTTCGGACAGTTAACTTAAAACTCCACTTGCTGGATTAAAAGGTCTTAATCTAGTTGAATGAACAATTTCTGATTTCTTTTAGTTAAAGGATTAGGTTTATCTATTTCATAAGTAACTTCAGAATATTGTTTTTAAAATTTTATAAGGTCCTGAGAATGGAGGAGATATTTACGTGTATTAGGGTATGAAATTCTTCATACATTACTAAATCACCAATTTTAAAATTACTAGGTTTAAAATGAATATCATATCTTTCTTTATTTACATTATGATAATCATCAGATCTCTTTTGAGCTATTTTTTCTGGCTCTTCTTCTATTGACATATAAATTCTTGAATTTGAATTAAGGAATCATAAGGTAATTTTCCATACATTAAATATGATGGAGGGAATTTTGTTACAGAATGAGGGGTATTATTATACTCTTCAGTTACTTGGGTAATAATTTTTTCCATGCTATATTACCATGATAAGAATTTAGTTTGCATTTTAATCTAGTTATAATAGTTTGATTAACACATTCAATTTTACCATTAGTTTGGGGTCTATTTGCAGT